ATTTCATCGAATTTCAATTTACGTACTCTTTCAAAAAATGTGATCACAGTTAAATCTTTACCAAGCAATATAGCAAATAAAAATCTGATTCTATTATCAATAGAATTCCCATAAAAATAGATGAAATTCTGGAGATTGCAAACGGAACGAATAAAAAAAAAAGAGAAATGGACGATGACATTGTGGAGCGTACCTGATAGCCAGATACCGATCCACAGAGATCCACATGAAGGTGTAGACGGATACCGCCCAGAGCGTGACCTCCAAGTAGCCAACGAGACGACAGACGATGTCCCCGTAGACCCATCTTCGTACCAGAGCCGGGTACACCGAGAGCGGAACCACCAGCAGACCGCAAAGGAGGTCCGCCGACGCGAGAGACAGCAAGTAGTAATTTATCACCTCGGAGGGACCTACGTGGTGCGACGCTCATTTGTATTAACCCTGATTGCTGCACGAGCCTCGCGCGTCACCGAATTTCTACTGTTTTTTCCGAGGACCGGCGCTGTTCGCGCCGTTTCCTCGCCGTTCCACGGCGACCGTGTCGCCGGGACGGTAAATTGAAGTGTACCCGTGGGAACGAAGGGGCTATAATTTATTAGGGCCGATGCAGGTGGCAATGTAAACTGCAAATTCTTAGATATTGAAGCAAATACGTAGTGCGTAATGCAGGGTGTCCCAGAAAGTGTTAGAGCCAAAGAGAAGTGATTCTGAATAACAATTTCCTTTGCCAAAATGCAAAGTGAGGCATAGTTTTTGAATCATTAACGAAAAACACTGACTAATAAGAGCGCCTGTAGGGCCCGCGGACGGCAGTGGTCGCTCGGATCGTGGCGTTCGGCCATTGGTCAGCGCAGGCCTTACGCGCTTCTCATTGGTCAGTGTTTTTCGTTAATAATTCAAAAACCATGGCTCACTTTACATTTTACGAAAGGAAATTGCTGTTCAGAAACCATCCCTTTTCGGCTGTAACACTTTTTCTAGGACATTCTGTATTTTCTTCTGAAATTCATCGAACGATGAAATTTTCGGTGTGTAAACGGTTCTACGATGTCTAGGATACGTCGCACGGTGGAACGAACGAGCGATCTGGTCGGAAAAAAGTCAGGCGAACAAATAGAGATACATCCCACTTGACTGCCTTTCGAGATGTTCGTAGCAGCAAACGAGAACAGAGAGAATTGGTTTAATCGACCTTTCCACGCAGATATATCTGTATCGAAAGTTCCACGTAAAACTAGTCACTTTTTCTCGTTGTTCCATTATAATGAAAATTGTTGGTTCAAATTTTAACCTAACCTAATTATTAGGGAAGACGCCATTGCATGTAAATTACAGAAATTACTGTGGAAAATATATCAGATTTTGCTTCAAATTCCTTTTTAATTATCATGAAAGCAAAAATTTAAATATTTTGCAATAAATAAATAAAAGGATTTATGATTATTCTTTTTCCCATCTAGAGGAACCTCGATCCGTCCCACTGTGCGCCGGTTTCACTATCTAAGCACATGCGAAAAAGGATGCTTCATAACGCAAAAGTATAACTCTCTCGATGTTAGTGACATCTGTAACAAGACTAAAGACTTTCGACAAACACTTCTACAGAGTCTAGTCAGATCGCTGTAATTCTGTTAAAAATCGTGTCGACACCCGCTATTTAACGTATTCAACTAGCGTTCAAACTATTATAGAAAGTTTAGCTACGTCAGTTCTGAACGACGTCGCTAATAATCGTTTTGTAACAACCATGCATTAAATTACGTACAAATAATCAACGAATTAATATTCAACAATGTTTTGTTATACTTCTCCATTTTAACGCAGGAAAAAAGGCGCACTGCTATTTCTCTTTGAAAAAGAAGTCTACGGTTCATCGCGAAAATAAATCAATCGAAGTCCCTTTACACGTGAACTGATCAAACATTAAAATGAATCATTCGAGAAAATTCTATACGTCACGACTGACGTGTCGTTCGATCGTTGAAAATTTTTAACTGGGTTGGAACAGCCGCGTCGTCGAGTGGACAGAGTGTAAAGAGACCCCGGCTAGAAATTGCGCGCGTGTAGAATCGTGCGATAAAGTACACTCACCACGGAAATTAAGGTAGGTGGCGATGATGAGGAGATTCGAGAGGATGATGGCGACACCGACCACGAAGATGAGGCCCGCCTGCATGAGAGCCTCCAGCGAGGGCTCCTCCATGCCGCCACCCTTTCGAGCTGCATCCCCCCACCCGCCCTTAGGTGCTGTTACCCTTCACTCCCCCCCCCCTCCACCCTCGTCGCCCCCGCGCTCGCTCTTTTGTCGACGAACCACTGAGAACAGCCAGGTGCCAGGCCCAGGTAGCACGCACCTGGTCCGCCCTGTCTTCCGTCACTCGCCTTCGCCTCCTCCCTCGGATCACCGTCGCTTCCCTCCGGCGCGCGTTACCTTTTCTGCCCGCAGGCCGTCGGTCCTCCGCTACCGAGAAACTTTCGCCCCCTTTTTCGAGATCGATTACGCGAACGTACCTTCACTAACGACCTCGTGACGCGGACGATCTTGACGGAGGAGGATCGATGCAGCTATGTTGCTGCAAGCAGAGAGCAGAAAATTGCTGACGTGTCGTTCCGTTTTTATTCAACGGCGGCGGCGGGATCACTGAGATGCGCTGATCTGGCGAGAGGACCGTGGCGATGGCTGCGAGCTCGGTGATACGACGATCGAGTGACCCATGAGAGGGAGAACGATCAGTGTTTGATTCGGGGTGAACGGCGAATTCGAATGATGAAGTGAAGAATGTCGTTTTGGTATTTTGGAAGAACGTTTTAAATGTCCACTATCATTCACTTGCGATTAGATGCTAGCGTCTAACTATTAAAGTGCCAGTAGTTCATCATTGTCGTTACTCAACACTAGATTGCCCAAGGAAGTAATTTTGACTGCTTTTGGGCAAATGTACAAATAATAATGCATAAATTATTTTTTTTCCCAAGTGAAGTAAATTT